TCTCCCTTCTTTCTCTTCCTCCTTACTTTCACCTCTTTTTTCTTTGTGTGTGTGTGTGTGTGTTTGTTTCTGTTGCTTTAACAGTACTAAGCATTCATGTTGCCCTCCACAATCTTCCTCGCCCCCTCGTCGCCAATGTTCACAAGAAGTTGCAGCAGCCACTTTTTGATGTTAGGACTACTTTCGAGGGCCTGCTTGTACGTATCGTTGCGAAGCACGCCTGGCAGGCACTGAGAAAGTGCGTCGCAGGCACGTGGATTCTCGGAAAGACGCAGGTAGCAACGAATGATGTACCGCAGGAGGCGTGGCGTGCAGTCCTTCGACCCCACCATGTTCTGCAGGACCGTTGCAACAGCCCTAAATCGCTCTGGTGTCTGGCAGACGTACTGCAGGCCAAGGTCTGAGAGCAAGAGCTTCTGCACAACGAAGGTAGCGAGCGTCCGTGAGAGCTCAAGTCCGTATTCCATGATCTTGAGACAAAGCGGGAATATTTCCGTGCTAAGAAGATACTGCATCACGTCGGCGTCGTCGGTCTTGACAAGGGCGCCAATGACGCCAAGTGAGGTCAGACGAAGGCCCTCCGTCACATTACCCGTTCCACTACTCGTCCCACGAAGAAAGGGATAGAGAAAGAGGCAAATGTGGGCATCCAAAAACAACTTGCGGGTTGAATCCTCGTAGGCAACGCTCTGAAGCAGCGTGAGGACACTACCCACATGGCTGGTTGTCTTCTTTGAAAGCAGCTCCGGGGTGTGCAGGAGGGGATAGACAGAGATGACCTCATGCAGCAGGATCGCCATCGTGCCTACGCTGTACCACAAAAATAGTCCGAGTTGCTGAAATTTCTCGCGGTGCTTGGCCAGCTCAAAAATGGCCTTCTCACGCAGCTCTGGCTTAAAGAGACTTTCAAGGAGGTTAAGCATATTCCTCGTCTCCGGAGACACTGCGGTCATTGAGGGGTATGGCTTAATCGTCGGCTGTTGCGAGGGGTAAATGGAGTACTGCACATACGGGGGTCCCTGGTGCATCTTTGGCGACTGTAACTAGACGAATAACCTGGCGGAGAGAAAATAAGAAAAGTGGGGAGGAAGAAAGTGCAAGGCGCAGGCACATGTACAGAGACAAGCAAAAACAAAAAGAAAAGAATACAAAATAAAGAGATAAACTCTCACGGCAGGCGACCGTCCTCAGTTCTGTTGTCCTTCCAGGCACGCCCAACATCTCATTCAGCACCAGCCGGCACGCGCCTCATCGTCCGCGCTTTTCGCCCCACAAACAATACAAGCACCGCCAGCATGACTGCCCGCAATACAAGAGCAACCGCAGCGCAGAACAGCAAAAAAAAAAGAACCACACAACACAACGACAACGACAACGACAACGACAACCAGTCAACAACGAACTATTCCCACTTGGAATACGAACAAAGAGTTAAGATGCAAAGGACAAAAATCAAAGTAAACACCTCACCAAAACGGGTACCAGCCGGACCACGACTGCGCAACATTTGTGATATCCGTCGCCTCTACTATGAGACGGGCTACCTGTGCCTTTGGATCCATGCTCGCAGAGGCCAATGCTGTTTGCATAAAATCTTCACCTTTTAGCTTTGAGCGCACACGCCCAAAGATGGTGACGCCCTTGTGAGTCATGTCAACCTCCTCCCGCACAGATGCATGATGGGCAGTTCGGACAGCCTCGGTTGAGACACTATCCGCAGGTGGTTTCCCTCTGAATACTGCGGGAGAGTAGAGTTTTCTTGGTCTCATTTGCTCAAAGGTATGGTGTTCCGCCGATGACTGTGGTTCCTCTCCTGGACGGTTCAGTAAACGCCACGAGATCAGTGGATCTTGAATAAAGGCCTCCAGTATGGCAAGAACGCTGTGACTGCCATCGCGTAAGACGCACATGGCTACTTCTGCTCTTGTACGAAATGCCCCATCAACACCTGAAACATCCAATGCGTTGCGCAGCATTCGCGTAAGCCGAAAAGGGACCTTTTCAGGAAATTTGTCGCGCGTCATACCAACCTCAAAGCAGTCACCAAAATCAATGTGGACCATTAACCCAGACGTACGTTGGATCATGATATTATTTGGGTGGCGATCGCCCAAACCCAATATATACCCCACCATACTTGTGGCCGCCAAGGACGTGGTAAACTCTTGTCGTTGCTCCAACCATGTCTCACAACTAGCAGCAGAGGTCCACATCGCCTTCCGAATATCATGCCCTGTCGTATGATCAGCAAGAAATTCCATGACCTCCACCTTGGACATCACAGTAAGAAAATCATATGCCCTGGGCTGGTCAAAGACGATAATTTGATTTAGCATTCGTAACTCCAACTCAGCCGGAACCCCACGATAAGTCCTATACTTCTTGACCAACTCGTGAAGGGTGTCGCACCCACTCACCCAGCCGATAATCCCCACAGTGTCTTTCAATGGAGTAACGGAGTAGCGTTTAATCTGAAACCCAGAGTTTTTGCAGGCGCGTGAGTCGGACATCATAAGTGAGTTCACAAGGCGAAAAAGTTGCATCACACGCTCGTCAAGCCGCAAGTCCTCTCGTCCTTTTAAAAGATATTTTTGTTTTTTACCCTCCGTGGTGATCACGCTTAGGCGTTTTGGTCGCTGCTTACTCGCAATCACAACCAGCGTGTCGTTAAACGAGGCAATGCAGGACACACTACCCTCGTCTGTTGGCATAGCATCGGGAATGCCCACTGAAAGGTTTCTCGCCTCAAAAAGTTTCGGACTACAAAATGGCAATTGCAATCGATTCCGGGCCCGTACGTGCGCGTCAATCTGTCGATACACGCAATGATAGATATGCCACGCCGAATGCAAATCTGCAACAGACCCTGTTCGCTTGTAGGACTGTAGCCACTCTTGTGCCTCCTGCAGGCTGCTGCTATACTTGCAAGTGAACTCGGCCTCCACAATGGTCTCCGGAGCCCGATGCAGCTCTTCATGCAGAAGCAGCAAGTTTTCGACCATCTCATGGTAGTGCCGGCGGCCAAAAAAGGCATTGGCGGCGGCGTCTAGCTGATCGTACCACTTCTCGTACACCAAGTCCGAGATGCGTAGTAGCTCATCAATAACAAGACGACCCTGAAGGACAATGACAGGGAACTTAGACTTCAGTTTCTCAAGAATCATGTGTGCCAACTTTTTGCGTCGCTCAGAGTCAGACATAGCCGACAGATTCAATGGGTAAAGCAAGGAGATGGGGTAATCAAAGGCCACCGGGGTCAAAATGTCCGCAATGAGTTGACAGCTCTCATCGGAACCCGAGTCCAGGCGAGCGATGAGTTGTGGCACCACCAAATACCATGCCCGTGAGGAGACCTCTAATACCTTTTCACGTAACTTTCTCAGCCCGTCCTCCGAGTCCGAGGGACGACTCAGCAACGTCAGAAGCTTCAGCACGTCTTGGATCATGGTGGAGTCGGAGATTCCCAACTTAATGCTTTTAATGTACCCCTCAATTGCGGCAGCATACGCGGCGTCTGAGTAGTTGGTGTTTAGCAGCTCAACATTAGCCTCAGCACACATACGCCAGGCATGAAACCAGTTGGGGTCATACAACGTCGCAGCCTTGTAGCATTCAATCGCCTCCCACAGCTCGGCCTTGGTACCAAGACGGACATAGGCGCGGGAGAGCAAAGTCGCATTCTCTACCTTAGAATGTGTGTCAATCAATTTTCTAAGCAGATCACTTTCAAGACCATACGGACCGTTTGGTCCCAATTCCCCATTTGCAGAAAGAAAACCAATGTACTGCATCACAACACGTGGATTGGCGTTGTGGCTCATAAGTTGCTCATAGGTGGGACAACGAGAGCCAAGCAACTGCAACAAAGTGAAGCGCTCCAGCTGCTTCGCATTTGCGCGTCGGCATAGTTTTACAAACCGCAGCTGTGTTGTAACGTCCTCACTTGGGGGAATTAGCAGCCCCCGCACACTAAGCACCTGTTTCCACACAGGCACCGTAGGTGACATCATCAAAATACGCTGACTCCACAAACGTGAAATGCTACAAAGGTGCTGCGTCGACACCGTCTCCTTGACACGCTGCGCTGCCACCACCTCCTCCAACTCAGATAACTCCTGCGCGATGACAAGGCTCTCATACGCTCTTATGTAGGATTCGTGCAAAAGTCCAGCAAGATCATCTAGCAAAAGTTTTCGGCCTTCATTCACTGCCAACGAAGCCTCATCGTACTGACCCTTGTGAATACTAAGCGCCGCCCGTGAGATGTAGTAGTGCACGCTATCCTTCGGCATCCACAGCAGCGCGTCCTCCAACGTGCCCCACGACTGAAGCCGGATGGAGGCATCTGCCGCATACTGTGAGACGTAAAAAAGGATATTTTCCTCAGTATCCACTTTTTTCCCCTTGTATTGGTTAAAAATCACACCCCACTGCTGCAGCACCTTGTCGTAGTCCCCAAACTCGCTTAAGCTCATCATCTGTCGCACCCGTTGCTCCAGCTGAAGGTCAACAGTCGTGTCTTCACCACGAAAAAACGTACTGACGTCAGGGTGGTAACGGCCTGCGACTCCACAAAAGCGTCTCAAATTCTTTGATCGGTATGGCAACAGTTTCGCAAAACTTTCACTACTCGTTTCTGATCCCATCATATCTCTGTCAATTTCTTCCTGAGTGAGACACAGGGCCTCTGTATACCCTGGAAGTCTCAGAATTTCCGACTGCTGAAGCAAGTAGCGCTTCTGACTCTCGCTTGCCCCACCAAGCAGACTAACCGCGGAGTCAGGCTGGTGCAACTCACTGTACAGAATGGTGAGGGACTCTATTGTGCTGGCAGGATCCTCGCGGTAGGCGGCCTCACGCCAGTAGAGCGCCTTTGCAAGCATCCCGCGGGACCACGCACACTCAGAGAGGTCATTGGCCGCAATCGGCAGTGTCATCCCCACGACATCCATGTACTCTACGAGAGAAAGCATGGCAGTGATAAAGTCATCAGGCACAGTGGAGGACCAAGTGGGTCGTTGCAGCGTTTGCCGGAAGAAGTCAACAATGGAGGAGCGAATGGAGGCACTGCCAAAGTTCCAAAGTGCACGAAATGCAAGACGTAATATATCCTGCGTAAACTCCGGTGATCGCTCCACAAGCGGAGTGGCATTGGTGCCGATAGGCAGTGAAACACAACGAAACACACGGTATGGTGACTCCTGCATGACAGAAATAGAAAATTGATCAATCCAGCGAAGCCATTCCTCCTTAGTAAGTGGAGTAGTCTTAAGTGTGTTAATGATTCGCTGCTCTGCCAAGGGAAGCGGTCGCTCGTCATCGCTAAATACCACAGCTGCATCTTCCACATTGTTTCGTGCAGACCACACCTCTCCAAGGTAAGATATCCCTCGCGTCATCATCAACTCACACTTTTTAAGGAGCGAGACAACCTGAGCGTGATACTCCGCCAATAAACTCGCGCTCAGGGTACAGGGGACGCCTTTGAGTAGAAGCCCCTGCAGCGTTGTGAACTCAGCGTTGGAGATGCGTAGTGTCTTGAGTGTTCGGATGACCTGCGAGGAGTACTTGATGAACTCACCCTGCAACTGCACAATCAACACGCAGAAGACACTCATGATTCGGTTTGTGAAAGACGTATACTCCGTGTCCTGCATGAGGATGGCGGAGTGCATCTTCAACGCAGCAAGCAACCCACGCACAATGACGCCGGTGAGTTCATCAACGTTTAACGTCGTGCAAACCGTCCGAAGCGCCGTCACAGCGTACACTCCAAATTCTATGGGGTTTCTCTGCGTGGCACGAAGGAGATCAAGCACCACAATCTCAGCACAGAACTGAAGTGTCTCCGTGTGCTTCACAATGTACTCCAAAATGGCATACTGTAAATACTCGGAGGAATCTGAGTCATTCAGGGCGTCAAGTGTAATGGGAAGGACGCGTGCGTCGCTCTGCAGATACTTTTGATCCCCCTTCTCCCTAAGGCTGGCAATTGTTGACGCCAGACGTACAACAAGAAATCGATATACAGGGCACCGCTCCCACGCCACATCGCAAAAAGTATGGAGCGTTGCCACATCCGAAAGCGACGTCGGACCTACGCACTTTACAATTTGTGCCAACTCATGCAAGACAATGCCAAGCAGGCGGCCAGGAGAAAGTTCACTGGCCGCACGCACAATAGCGGGAATCACGACCGCCATCCCGGCACGCGAACATGGGCAGCATTCACCAATGTGGAGAACAGTTTGAATGCCTACGCGCAGCAAACTGTCCTTGCTAACTGAGACCCGCTTCTCATCAGGGTCCAACAGGGAAGCAATAGCTCGTAACACATGGCGGCAGCACATGGCATGACTAAGTGTATGTGAGTTGTTTCGTTCTAATTTTGTTTGCTGTGTGCTTTGGCCTAAGCCCAGCGACTGAAAGACACGTGTGTCTAGGACTCCAATGGTCCCAGCGCAGCGTAGTGCCTCAAGACGAAGGTCCAGGTCATCGTCACTATTCTTTAATATCCCCGAAAGACGGCGATACAGCTGCGGATATACATCGTATGGGGAACGTCCCCCAATTTGAGGACCTAAAGTGGCGCCAATAAATCGCAGGCACCACAAACGCGAGGCGACAAACTCCGTGTCAAGCGGCAGGAGGTCTAGCAACTCACACACACGCTCCACCTCCAGCGTAAAAATGGGTTCGTTGTGTCCAAAAAAGCGCACCGCACGAGCCACAGAAGTGCAGCAGCGGAGCAGTGACTGCAAAATCGGAGAATTCACTTCCAGAGATGAAAGGTGGCGTCCAAGGACTTTAATAATGCCGTCTGTCAAGTTCACCACAAATTGTGGGGCATTGGATGCGACTGCGTCTAACAAAAGTAGTCCGTTAGACACCTTATTCCCGGTGTCTTCGCTAGAAAGGGTGTAGAGAATGTGCAATATTTCTTTGCGTAAAATGGGTAAAATATGTGACGGGTAGTGGTTCACCATACGACATAGCAACCCTGTGGCGGCAATGCGGCAGCATATGTCCTCATCCCCAAGCGCCGAGAATAACTGCGTTAGGAACTGCAATTCACTCAGGTACGGATAAAACGATTGGGTGAAGGAGGACAAGATCGTCGCACGTATCACCGGATCTGGATTAGCCAGTCCAACTACAAGCATGCGTGAGACAATCATATCCACACATATTCTACGGGACATTGTCAACTCCCCCTTTATACCAGGTGGAATTAACAGAGACACAATGGTATTAACGGCGGCATTCCGCACGCATGCACTCGGGCTATCGATGAGTGGAAGCACCGAGTCACGAAGAAAGTCACCCATAAGCTCAGAATCCGAAAAGCCAAACTGTATCAGAGCATTAAGTGCCACCACAATTTGGCTCTCTGTTGGCTCAGAGTCTGGGTGATTACCCGTCTTTATTCGCGTCCCCGCCACCTGGCGAAACGGCAAGCCACACAGCGTGACAGAAATCATATCAAGAAGCGCCTCCTCCAGCTTTGTCCGGCCTTTGATGCTGGACAATGAAATAATATCCCGCATACACTCAATTAACTGTGAGGACAACCCCCAGTTAAAGACATTTTCTATGCATGGCTCGATGTAACTCTCAACATCCGGCGGTGGACACTCTCTAAATATCACCGAGAAACACTTGAGTGACTCCCAACACGGCGTCGGGGACATTTCAGATATAAAGCAAACAGCTTCACATGTCTCCTTTACAAAAGGCGTAAAGGCCGCTTTACCAACCATCGGAATAATTTCACTAAGCATATCAAAAGCAGTGCAGTGCTGAAATAAGTTTTGAATGGACTTAAGCGCAAAACTCACCGTATCCTTCAGGTGATTGATTATAAATAATGTCGTGTTATAACGGCAAAGCACAACTAGGCAGTGAAAGAGCAACTTCCGCACAAGCTCAGAGTTCGCCGAGGACCCACCAGACATTATGTAAGGTACCAACATAATGGATAAGTCTTCATACCGTGGCTGCGAAGAGCCACCCATGGAGCTCATCACCACCGTCTCAAAGGCCAGCAAACCAGCCAAGTTGGACTCGCGTGACTTTGCGGCAAGATTAGACTTGAGCTGAGACAGCAGTGTATCCACCGTTTTGATGCGCAGTGTCGGTGAGCGGTTACTAAGTAGTTTCCCACACACCTTAAATAGTTGTGCGGAGGTGTCGCGTATCATATCATCCGAGGAGGCCAGTCCACTCCACAACTTCTCACAGAGAGTTCCTAGCTTGGGAAGGATCAGCATTGGAATGCGTAGTGCCACCTGCTGCAGTACTAATAACCCGCATATTCTCCTAGCTCGCATGCTGGCGTCGGGTAGCTCAATCCATGAAAGCGTCTCATCAATCTCCATACGGGCAAAATCGGAGGTCATACTATTCACAAGCGTCTCAGCAAATGTTCGCGCCGCTGCCGGTGCAATGGAGGTGTCACTGACAGCACAGAGACATAGGCGGGCGTAGCTGCTGCACTGAGACATCTGAATAGTCGTCAAATCAAGTCTTAGCAATATGTCGAGCACAGTGAGGGCGCACGTAATCTCAGGTGTGTCGCTCTGCACCACATCAAAGTTTTCTAGACAGATTAACAAGGAAGAAACGGTGCTTTCGTATTCCTGCAGATTTTTCCGCTGAAGCTCCTTCGTACGCTTAATCTCCTCCTCTACCATAGTTGTACGCCTCGCTGGGTCATCTGCGATTCTGCGGATGGTCGACGCCAAGTTATCCTTCCCAGCTACCGTGAACATTATTGCTTTAGGAATATACAGATAGATATAGTTATATTGATAGATGTATATACACGTGAAGGGGAACTCTTCTTTTTGTTTACCTGTTTGTTTCTCTTTCTTTTGTTTATTTGTTTGTTTGTATGTTTGATTTCGTTTTTCTTTTGTACTCCTCTGTATCTATCCTTCTTCCCTCCGTTTTCCTTCTTGCTTCACCACCCAACACACCCCATCCTTGAAAAAAACACACGTGGGGCAGAGAAAAGTTGCCGTGCGGGTGAGGAGGAAGAAAAGGGGGGGCGCAATCGCAAACAAAGCAATGACCCACAATAAAAACCAGCAAATGCGCCGGCAAGACAAACCAAACAAGCAGAAAAGAAAAGAGAGGTGGGGGGATATGAGAAAAAAGAGAGAAAAAAAAACACATTCTGCTCTCTTCCACATACACACACACACACACACACACATATACACTCAGGCTTCCTTAAGTTGCTTTCGCTTCTCTCGCCCCTCTGCATATGCCTCCTCGCCTGGTCCGGTGGAGAGTAGAACCTCTACCGAATAATGGCGGTTTTTTCAAAGCAGAAACCTTCGTATTCCCAGTTGGTGCTGACCTCAAACGGCTCGCTAATCGTCACAGTGTCGTCTGTGGCGTCAGCGATCTGGAATTTGTTGATGGCGCGGCACTCCCGGTAGAAGAGTACGCGCAGACAGTCAATAAGGACCCGCATGGCCTCCTCGCGTGTCAGACCGCCTGGTTTGGATAACGCCTGGCGGAGCAGCGGAAGAGCAATGTGAGCGCCGTAGCCGGTGGCGACGCAATCATCAGTCCACCGCGTGCCCACGTCATCAATGCCGCCAAGGAATGGCTCACCCCCGTGGCATCCAGCCACAACAAAATGGCAGAGACATGGTTCAAACTCGGATCGCTTGTGATAAATGTGGCGCTGCAGGTAGCAGAAGATCTCCTTCGGGGTAAGTGCGCCACCACCGTACATTTTTTGTCGATTTACATGATTCTCAATCATGGTTGTCATTTCTTGAAAGTCTGCATAGTCGCCAGTAGCACACGTAACCGCGTGAGCGCCTGCCAGTTTTATGCGGGGAATATTTGGCCACTTTGCAAGGGAGCCGTACGAAAGAAGCGTGTCCGCCGCCAGCAAAACGCCTCCGTTGTACTTCACGCCCACTACAGAACCCCCGGAGGCCATAATGTTGTATTTGGAAACACCGTGGCAAACAAACAAAAAAAAACCCTAACACCTCACGCACAGAGCAAATAATTCTAGGCAAGCCACAGAGAGCAACAATGGAAGGGAGAAAAATTAAACATTATTTTTTTTTCTTTTATCGTCTTTTTGAAATGAGGCATACATGCAACGACGACGGTGTGAGAGGACGCACTACGTTTCTGCACGCCAAATAATATAATATATATATATATATATATGTATAAAGGTATTCCCCCGTGAGCATCCAGTGAGTGAGACTTTGTCCCTATCTTTTCTCTCTCCCCCC